TGACCAGAGAAAAGTGCAAACCATCCCAAAAGGAGGCTTCACTCCAGGGCCTCTCGGTAGGTCCCTGTGCTGGAGCGTAGAGGGTGAGTGAGCGAGCGAGCGTGGCCACGCGCAGCAGCTGCCAGTGCAAAGAGTGAAGCCAAGTGCCGAATGGAGCTCCGGCTCTGCTTACTGGGGCTTTCAGAATGAGTTTCAGGATGGAAAGGGTAGGTCAGGTCAGACCCTCTCTGCAGTGGGTTTCTCAGCCGTGGTGGCTTTGGCTGGACCGCTAAGCGGGAAAGGGAGCTTTTAACGCTACCAGCCCCTGATGGGGAGAAAAAAGAAGGGAACAGCATCCCAGCAGGCACTGGAAGAGGGTTGAATCTTTCTCCTCCATACCTTGAAAAGGGACTTGAGGTGCTTCTGGGGTGTGGGAAGGAGCAGCACACCTCCGTTCTGGAGATGTCGGTGCTGCATCAATCACAGCAGATGGAGAGAGTGTAGGGGGAAGGGGATCCGTCAGCGGGAACCTGTGGCCCCGCTCTCGGGGCTCTGTCCAGGTGGCTGAGCAAAAGAGAATGGAGGGGGGGCCAAAATTGCCATTACCACGCTAGCAAGGGTTCTGCTGGCAGCGGGGCAGTGGCACAGTCGGGGGAGCCAGCAGTGGGGCAGGGTGGCCTTTTAAAAGCCAGTTGTGCAGAAACCCACCAGGAGCTTGGTCTGGCCTCGTAGCTCAGTTCCTGTTGTGCTCTTGTAAGAAAGTCTTATAAATTAGCAGTTGAAGCGTGGAAGGTAGGTAAACAGACTGGGAATGTTCTGGAAGGTGTCACTTTTTGTATCAGTATTATTTTATTATTATGATTTCCTTTCTGATTTTTTTTTTAAAATTTTAAATTGCTGGCTTGATTTGTGTTTCATTTTCCAGTTTGTTACTTTTGGTTTCATTTGTTTGATGTATTTTGTATTATTTTGCGTGGCTAGCCATGGCCGGGGATTGTCCCCCTCCACAGTGGGATTTCTGAGGATAAGGGTTTCGTTCTGCCATTTTAAGTCCAGTCCAAGCATAGCAATAAAGCCTGAAAGTGGGAGGACAACACCCAAAATGTCCTACTGGACAGAGTGCTCAGCACTGCAGCATAAGGACTATCTTTACCCTTTCTGCAAACCCCACTGATTTCTGTTTGATGGAGACGTGCACACTTTTCCAGTGCGAACTGGGAAAGCGTGACTTGGTTCAGCGCAGTCCTCGAGGCAGACTGGGCCTCAACACCTGTGTGTGACTCAGGGATGGGAGTAAGAGGTTTGGAAAAAACCCATTCCTCAGTAAAAGAGCTTTTTGTTGATTAAAAACAGAGAAAGGAGAAATGGTGACCAGCGTTTATCTACTCCTGTGCTTCTTGCAGGTGATGCTTTGGGGGCTTCTAAGCCCCCAAAGGCTTCTAAGATAAGGACACCCCAGTTTCTGGCAGTGTCTGCAGAGAGTTAAAAGCTCTTTATTGCAGTTTGACTGTATCGGGTGAGATTAGATTTGCAGCTTTGCCTTGAAAATGTATCACTCTCTTTGCTCCTTGGGCCGATTGATGGTAATTAGTGATTGAAAGAAGTCTGGTCTCAGGTGTCCCAAAGTGCCCAGGTTATATTTGGGGTGCAGAAGAGACAGACTGTTTGTCCACGCTTTGCCAAGGTCTCAGACCCGTTGCTCCATCAGCACAGCTGTGTTCCTGCAGTTCTCCCTGTATTTCGAGGCACGGCTGCGGCACGGCCGTGTGCGCCCCGGCACGTAGTGTCTGACGGAGCTGGTGGCAGCGTCCTGCTTCCTACTGAGCAGACAGCGCTAAAAATTCCCTACTGCAGCTCAGTAAACACCGAAGTGAGCAGCCTTGTGCTAGAAACTCTGCTTTACACCTTCTCCATCTCCAGAAAATCAACCCTTAGACAGTTGTCTGCTGCCACCGTGAGAACCGGCGGCTGCGTAGGGCCACGTTTCCCAAGGTGTCTTCTGGGGACTTTCAGAAATACTCTGGCGTAGTTTAGGCAGTGAGTTCAACAAGACTTAGACCTGCTCCTGCTTCTGGAGATCCCGCTGGGTACCTGAATACCTTCCCAAACCCACGGCCTCGCTTGCTTGGCAATATTCTGGGCATTACCACCAGGATTTTTTGCCTCCTTCAGTCTGTGGACCACTAATAACTTCCATCTGAAGGTACAGACTGCTAAACTTAAGCCTCCTGGCAAAAGATTTGCTTTTCTTACTTATTTTTCACAGATCCCTTCAAAGAAATTCAAGATCCCAGAGTCTGCAGTTTGGAAACAAGTGCTTTACCAGCCAGGGCAGGATTTGCCAGACTGCTGTAAAACAGGGAGCTAAAGGAAAGGTCTTTTATAGGGTAAAGCTTAGTGCTTAGTTTTGTGCCAGCTACACATAGTCAAAGCAGCAGGGACCCCTCTTGGCTAGCCCGCTTGCTGGTGTAGTCCTTTGCTTTATAACATTTGAGTTTTGATGCTCCATTTCATTTCCGTTGGCTTTTTTTTTTCTTTTCATTTAAAAAAAAAAAAAAAAGACAACAACAAAAAAAGCTCTCTTCTTTTTTAATTTTATCTTCCTAAACCAAATTTTTGTACGTTTTATTTTAGATTTTTTTGTTATCATTTTCCTTTTTTTTTTTCTTTTATCTTTCCCATCTTTTGTTTTTCCCCCCCCTCCTTCTTCCCTTTCCCTCCTGAATTTTCCCCCCTCGTAGAACCGTCTGCCCCCCCTCAAGACGTAAAATGCGTCAGCACCAGATCCACTGCCATTCTGGTAAGTTGGCGGCCGCCTCCGGCTGAAAGCCAAAATGGCATCCTGGCTGGATACAGCGTCTACTATCGAGCGCTGGACTCGGAGGACACGGAGCTTAAGGAGGTGAATGATATCCCCCCAACCACCAGTCAGATCCTACTGGAGTCCCTGGAGAAGTGGACAGAGTATCGCATCACTGTCGTGGCTCATACGGAGGTGGGGCCGGGCCCGGAGAGCTCGCCAGTTATCGTCCGGACGGATGAAGATGGTAATTTGCACTTTTTCTGGTTTTTTCTTGAGTCCCCTCGGTCAATACGTGTCCCTGCAGTGGGCTTTTCCCACGCCAGGGAGGACACGGCGAGTCCCTTCTCACGGCTCGTGTGGTACGAGACCGAAACCTCCTGTCTGAGAATGGACCCCCTCCGAGAACGGGGATCTGTGGGATTGTCCTTCCCTGCTTTAGGGTTGGGGTTTTTTTTAGATTTCGGGGTTTTTTTTGATCCCAAGCCTCTGAGCCTTGACTGCACCACTTCTCCTGGAAAGATGCTCTTATTGAGCAAGGAAGGAGCTGAGGCAGGAAGGAAATGAAATCGGAGAAGAGGAGACGATTGCTGCCAGAAACTGTTCTAAAATATTGCAAGTTCTTCCCGCACGTTCCTTGTTCCTGGCTCCTCGTTAAGTCAAACTATTGGTTAGTGGTAAAAAGGAAGAATCTCTCTCCTAACGTTTCAAAAAACCTTAGTGACAAACAGTTTAGACTCCAGTGGCCCAGCTCGGAGACCTTTAGCGCAAACACGGACAACAAGACTTGAACTTTCCTGGTATTTCTACAGTAAAATAAAACCAGGAAAAATTGGGAATGTGTGCATGAAGGGAGAGCACCCTCGCTGTGAGGGCGAGGTAAGACCCTCAAGTAATATAGGTCAAGTAAATAACGTAAGTAAATTCCAAACTTTTCAGGCTTTCTTCCTCCACCCCAAATAAAAAGAATTTTTAAAAAAGCAACAGGTTTGTCCCCAGTGTGGGTCCTGTCTCCCTGAGCATCTGCCCACACCCAAAAGGATAGAATACCTTGCTCAGAGGGAGTATGGTGTTCTTGCAGATGAAGCTGTCATGCACTGTATTATTATTACTATTATTTCCAAAAATTCAGCCCAAATTCCATCCAAGACATCTCTTGTTTCCTGTCCTGAGATGATGCAGTGGCTGTAACCCCCAACCACCTGCCCTGCCTGAGGGACAAGAGAGCCTCAAGAGCAAGTCCTCCTCCACATCCTCTCCACCCTGACATCCCACAGGCACCAGAGCTTTTCTGGCTCATTAAAAATTGGCTTTGCCCTCAGAATGTGGTCTGGAACTATATGGTTTCTTCCATCTGAGCAAGCTGAGAACAAAGGAGGCAGTGGAAGAACAGCTGGACTATGAGATGGACCTGTTCCCATGCATATCTCCGAGCCATGCAGATGAGATCCCCCAGAACTGCTTCCCTGTTTCACTGAACGAAGACCAGTGACAGATGATGGGATATCCAGTTCGTTAAGTGTCCTCCCCCTTTCAGGGCTGTAGATGCCGTGCGCGTATGTCCTGTAGGTGAAGCGACAGGTCCCGGATAGAGATCCCCAAGTGACTCCTACCCCTTTCTTCCCTTCCTCGCAGTGCCCAGTGCGCCGCCTCGGAAAGTGGAGGTGGAGGTTCTGAACTCGACGGCAATCCAAGTGTTCTGGCGCTCTCCAGTCCAGAACCGCCAGCACGGCCAGATTCGCGGCTACCAGGTGCACTATGTGCGCATGGAGAACGGCGAGGCCAGGGGGCTGCCCCAGATCAAGGACATCATGCTGGCTGACGCCCAGGTAAGGACTCACCTCCTGCTCCCATCTCATGGAGGGTTTGAGGGGGTGGGTGCTCCGGTCGCCTTGTCTCATCCCAAGCGACATAAAGCTGGAGAAAGTAGACGAGTGTCTCTACGACACGATACATGTTGTCTTTCTGCAGTTCATTTGCACTCCCAGACAACAGCTATTGTGGAAGAGTATGAACTGCTGTCCCAGCACTGAACTAAATACCATCCATCCTCCCTGTGTCTGTCTGGGGAGTCTTTTAAGACAGGCAAAGGCCGCAGTGGAATCTACTAATTTCTCCCACTCTACTTCTTCCTTCATGCTGGCCTGGTAACTTCTGACCTTGTGTGGCTGCTTGCTCAGGGACTCCTTCCTCATGCTGTGTCTCTGTCTTTCCCTTCTTTCCCCTCTTGTATTCTCACGTGCAAAACCTCTTTTGTTCTCTGCCCAGTGGGAAACAGATGACACTGCTGAATACGTAAGTAAAAAAGTAAAAATCCTCCCATCCTGGTTCTGTCCCTACCCTTCTCCCACTTCCTGTTGTGGTGTGATATTTTCCTTTTCCTTTATTTTTTCGCAGTGCCGGTGTGCCTGTTTCAAAGCCTGCTGTCGGTGTTCCCGTGCATTGTCCCCACCCTGTTCGCTTTGCTCCACAACCCTGTGTGACTGTGTAGTTTGTCAGCACGCGGCGGTACCGCAGGGTTTGCCCCTCGGCTCCGGAGGGAGGATGAGTCTGCTGCTCCTCCACGGGGAAGCAGATGAGATGTTGAATTTGGAACTACCTCGAACATATGCTTAAAACTGGGCTGGTCTGCAGCCACCTCTGGCTTGTGTCTGAAAAGCATTGGGTACTCAAAGCCCGGGAAGTCCTGAGCTATCAGGGCATGAACAGATGTTTTGTGCCCTTCAAGGGCCAAGGTTTGTAGATACTCGTTGATACAAAGGACTGATCACTATTGGCGCTTTTACCTTTTAAGTAGAGCTTAAAATCAGCTCGGCTGTTCGGCGTTTGCTACTTCTGCTAAAATGCTAAACGGTTTCCGTGATCTTGTAACTACAAAGCAGTAGGAGAAAAAGCATTTCCATCTTGGAATGGCAGGGTCCCAAGATAATGCGCTACTAAATTTGAAGTATTCATGTCTCCTAGAGCTTGGCAAGTGCCCTACAAAAGTGAGGGGACCTCTGTTTTACAGATGGAGAAACTGAGTCACGTGAAAGGCAAAGTTTCTTCCCTAAAATCTAAACAAAACTCAGTGCAAGTGTGAAAGCAGAACAGGTTTCGTGATTCTAGAAGACAGACCTGGCTCTGTAGCTAAGGGCTTCCAAACTTGTTGATCAAACATCCTGCCGTTTTGAAGATTCGCTGTTCCGTTCCCTGTGCAGCTTCGGGGGCAATACAAGTATTTTCAGGACTAGCAAATTCTTCCCAAGTGCTGCCCTGAGATTTAATATTGAAAGCACAAAGGGGCAGCGGGGGGTGAGGGGAGAGGAAGGCCATAAAACATGCACAACGTTCGCATCTCCCTCCTTTTCAGGGCCTCGGAGAAAACCCTGCTGCGTACGCTGTCATCCTGTTTGATTTAGCACGGGTGTTCCTTTTACAACACAGCCCTTTGAAGGGCTGAATACTTCATGGGGAAGGGCTGTTCTTGAGGCCAGGCTCCTAACAAAAGCTCTGGGGAGCCAGGTGTGATGAGGCTGATAGAGGATGGAGGAAGGAGGGTGTTGGGGATTTGGCAGAGCGCTTTGGCGTGCAAGCAGAAAATGTCGTCTTGCACTTGACGTTAAAGCAGTCCCTTTAATATTGGGAAGGCATTAAAAAATATCTCTGAGGAGAGAAGGGAGGGAGGGGTGTGATGGAGAAAAAAATGTAATCTCCTTGAAACCGCTGAGACCTCCTCTGAGAGGGCATGGTGAAGAGGAACACTTTGAAGAGCGCAACAGCGTTTTGATGGCTGAAGCAGTTTGTGTGGAGATAGGGAATGTGTGAGAGGTAGATCTGGAAGAGAAGGCGTTGAACCAGGGCCCTGCAGAGACATGCTGTGTTTACAGAGGGACCGTGTGCGTGCCTCTCGCTAAGGGGACGTGGCTCTCATCCTCCTGCCAGTTGCCGTTTCTGCCCATTTGCCCCGGAGTGTCTCGTGGTTTCAGGTTCAGTGAATGTTCCTGCATGCTAGAAAAGGGCTGAGACTCCTGCAAGGAGGAGAGATATCTGCCTGTGTGTATGGACCTGAATATTTACATGATTTTCCTTTGGAATCTCGCAAACAGGAAATGATCATTGCTGGGCTCCAGCCTGAGACTGCATATTCCATCACTGTAGCCGCCTACACCATGAAGGGAGATGGTGCTCGCAGCAAACCGAAAGTGGTCACCACGAAGGGTGCAGGTAAGAGTCTTTTCCTGAACTGTTGGGATCCACCAGTTCCCCAAAGCCAAGAAGCTCTTTCTCCAAGCTTAGCTTCTTTCATCCCATTCCCTTCATGGACAGACTTGCAACAATGCCATGCTGCCTCGGAGACAAAATTATTTCTAGTAAAGGCAGAAACCCCTTCATTCCTCACAGGTAGCCCTCACTAAATGACACAATTTTCTGTACAGTGCTGCAGAAAGCCCAGATACACCACAAATGCAACAGAGGATGAATTCATTGCTTGTAATCGCTCATGCTCTATCTTCCAGTGCACCAGAAGTAAGGAGAATCTCTGCCTGGTCTGAGACTGTGTAGCTTTGATGGTTGGTGCACACAGGTACTCGGGGAACAGGAGCCCAGAGGTCTGGTGTCATGGTGTTGACTTGCAAAGATCTGAAAAGCAGCAGGGAGACAGTGGTGGCTTATACAGCCCACTCTTCTCTTCTTCTGGTATCATGTCTGAATGTACGTCCCCTCTTCGCTCAGGACTAGCGAAGGGAAAAGTACTGACGGTATTGACCTTTCCTTGCCAGCGTTTCTGGTACCTGAGCTCTGTCTGCACATACCGTCCGGATTCATTCCTCCCTTTGACCTATTCTTCATGGCGAAGGGTCTGTCAGCCTCAGTACAGAGGGCACGATGCCAAGCTAGGATGGCAGGGCCCAAACAGAGGAGTGACAAAAGGCAGCAGAGTATTCCTTGTTCCTCCAAACAGGTGGGCTGCAGGCAGAAAGGAGAGGTACACACTGCACCTGTCCTCAGCATCTGCATTCCTGTGGTTTCTGCTCTCACAGCTAAACATCTGCTGTGCCGTACATGAATGATTTCGTGCAGTGGAGACTGCGGTGCCTAGACCTGGAGTTGTCACTCATCAGCCCAGCTCTTGTTGGACTGTGGTGGCTCTCTCTCACTCCATTTTGCTCGTGCTCTTTCTTTTGTTCCTGCTGTCAGATGATGGCTTTCTCCGCTTTTCATTTCTTCTCTTTGTCTACTAACTTCCCAACCCTGGCTGTCTCTTCATTTTCTTCTTAGTTTTGGAGCAGTCATCTTCACCCTGCCTGTAGCAGCTGCACGAACTGGCATCATCCCTTGTTTCTGGATGAACATTGCTCTCTGCCTCTGCAGGGATCAAAGGCCTTCGGTCAGCGCAGCATAATTAACCTGGAAACCTCTGCTCAGGCTCTGGAGACAGCACAGACACTCAGCCGAGGGCTCGGGAGCCAGGGCTGGGACACCCAGGGCTGGAGCACAGCTGCCCTCCTTGCCCTTGCCTTTTCCGTGTCCTAACTCACATCTTCATCTCTTTTCATGTTCTTGTGTTCAGGGAAGTCAATGGGATTTCAGCCTTTCTCTCCCCTCTTGCCTCTCCTGCCTAGTTAAGAGAACAAGACACAAGAGAATAACGTTGCCTTCCAGGACAGCAGCTCTTGCAGAGTTACAGCAGGGTGTGTTTGGACGTCAGCATCCAGGCTCCTGTCCTCACACCTTGTAGTGTCAGTGCACTGTCAGAAGCCTTTTTCTTCACTCGTCCTCTTCTCCTTCCCCCTCTGGCTTTGCCTCTGTTTCTTCTCACTCACTCTCTGGTTCTCTCTTCTCGTTTCCATCTCTACTCTTCTCATTTTTCGCTCCCGGAGCCTTTCTCTCTGCCCCCCTCCCTTGTCACTCTCTCTTGTCACCCTCCCTCATCTCTCCCCATTAGGATTTGCAGTGCAGGTGATCTGTCACAGAGGGATGTTTTCTCCAGCACAGCAGCTATTACCCAAAACTCAATTTCCCCCAACTTGAAATAGCTATTTCAAAAAAAATCTTTCAAATGGCTCTGTAACATTCTTATCTTCTTTGTGGCGTTGAGTCAATATACCTTCTGAGAGGAGAAATTTCTTTCTTTATCATTCAGGGCTAGGGGCTGAATTTAAATACAGTAATACATCCCATTTTCTCCTTTACTGTCCAAACCAATTGCAAAATAAAACACTTCCCCCCACTCCATGCTTTTTCCTCACCTTTCTTCCAAACAATATTTGTTGTGCAAATGTAATATTTTCAAGCTCAGCTGATTAGAGTAACATTTGTGATAAAAACCGAAACATAAAGGTAATGGCGTTGTTCTTCTCTTTAATGTGTTCCTTCAGCACTGCCAGGGGATGCTCTCCCAGCACTGCTCCCTGGCCGTTCCGTAGCGGTTTGGAAGGAACAAAGCATTTGTTTCAGAGACAGCCCCTCGTCCCCGTGTTCAGGTGTCGGTTGGTGCAGCGGGCAGGGTGCTTTCCCCAGCGTGACTCCGCCAGGATCCCTGGCCCCGGCAGCGTCCTTCCCTCCCGCCTCCCTCTTGCGCCTCGTTAGCCGCCCCGCAGCTCTCCGACCCGCCGGCCCTCGCTCGGGCTCCTGCTGCGGGAGTGGGCTGGGATCTCTCCCAACTCCATTCTCTCTCCTCCTCCTGTTCAACCAGATGAAATACCAAGGCGGGGAGAAGGAAATTAGATCTCTTAATAGTGGAGTTGAGTGGAAATGACGCGTGAGCTGCTGGAATTAATGCTCTGGTTTCTCCAGCTTCAGGAACCTCTGGGCCTACACATGTCATTTAACTGTGGCTGTGAGCTCGCTTAGCAGTCGGGCAGTGCCAGGGCTCATTAGACAGAGGCACGGCACTGCTGAGCTCCTCCAGTATCCCCCAAATCTGGAGGAACTAACTGACAGGTTAAGGAGGGAGTGAACTGAAAACACACCGACACTCAGCTGTCTTTTCCCTTCCTCTGGAGGAGAGAAACTGCGCAGAGCAAGCAGCGACTCTCCCTACCCTCTGCCTCGCACAGATTTTGGGCTCCATTTCCACACTCTGTGTGCTTCCTTCTTTCTGTACCCAACTGGGTGATCAGCTGCCTGCCAGACTTGCTTAGCTGGCCTCGCGCCTGCTGCTCAGGACCTGGGGCTGCCCAGACATCCTTTCCCATCCTTCATTACTTCACCCTCAGCTGCTCTGGACTTCCCAGCCTGAGCCAATCTGTTCCAGTCTCTTTCTGCATGAGTTGTGCTGGGTAATGGAGAGAGAGAGAGAGAGAGGACAGGAGTTTGGGGACTCCTGCATTTGTTCTTCCCCGTCCTGGGCAGCGGTGCACTCAGGTGGTTAGGATAGGAGGCTGGGAGTCAGGTTTCCTGAGTTTGTTCCCATCTTGAGGAAAGAGAATAAAATAATTCCAGAAACGTGTCAGTACCTCACAGCTGACACGTTGGCAATGCACCTCCTTTCCTAAGCGTGATAGAGATCATCCACCTGTACAGCGAGTGGGTGGCAGCAGCAGCAGCTTGATTTCCAGGGGAATACACTAAAGTACACAGAGTCCAGCTGAAACCTTGCTGCTGATTTGAGGAACCTGTTGCTTGCAGCTTAAAAGTCTCTGTTTCTGCTCCCCAGCCACCCTGTCCCACGTCTGACTGAAGGTGTCCCTCTTCTCTCCCAGTCCCAGGGAAGCCCATCCTGTCTGTGCACCAGACAGAGGAGAACACTCTGCTGGTGAAATGGGAGCCTCCGTTGGATGCGGAAGGCCAGGTGATGGGCTACCGGCTGCAGTTTGGCCGCAAGGATGTTGACCCCCTGGCTACCTTGGAGTTCACGGCCCTGGAGGATAAGTACACCGCTCCCAGCATCCACAAAGGCGCCACGTATGTTTTCAAGCTGGCTGTGAAAAGCCGGGCTGGCTTTGGGGAGGAAGCTGTACAGGAACTCACCACCCCTGAAGACATCCCCAAGGGTTACCCCCAAATCCTCGAGGCGAGCAACATCACTTCCATGTCGGTCCAGTTTGGCTGGCTGCCCCCCGTGCTGGCCGAGAGGAACGGAGCCATCGTCAAATACACCGTGGCCTACCGGGAAGCCGGTTCTCCCGGCAACCCGCTGGAAAAAGACCTGCCCCCCTCCCCAGAGAACTCGTACACCCTCAACGGCCTCAAACCCAACACCGCCTATGACGTTAAAATCCGTGCTCACACCAGTAAAGGCCCCGGGCCGTACAGCCCGACCGTCCAGTATCGGACGTTCCAGCTGGATCAAGGTAGGACTTACCGGTTTCTCCTCCCTCTCTCTCCTTGTAACCGGGGCTGGTGCCGGGAGGCAGAGAGCTGGAGAGGTCAAGCCAGGCTCAGCCAGGCTCGTGAGTAAATGCAAAACGCTCTGGTTTCACGCTCAGTCCCTCCGCTCCTCTCTGCCTTGTGCCAGGTAAGTCCCTTTTACCACTTTCTTCTAAGTTAAGTCCGGACACCCTTCTTTCACTGGCACCTGAAGTGGGGGGCCAGTCGCTATACAGGTGGGACGAGCATTTTCTTCAGCTTTTGCAAACAGCCAAAAGAAAACAGAAAAATCAAAAAAAAACCACCTCAAAACGTGACCTGGGACGGGTTTCCTCACCTGAGCATGCTCAGAAAGCCAGCACCTCGTTCCTACAGCAGCCACCCAGACCCATAAGTGTGTGGGCAAAGCCGCGCACCCTCCATCACCCCTCCCTGGCATTAGGCATGGGGACAGGGAGCACTGGGAGATGGACCTTGGCAAAACTCAAGCAAAGTGTGGAGGAGGGAGCAAGCCCTTCCATTCCTGGGCAGCCTGACCCAGACTGGCAGGCCCTTTAGCCAGTGCCTGACATTCTCTTCCTTGTCTTTCTTGCTCCTCCTTCCCTCTGCTGCCTTTTCTTCTCCTTTCTCCCCTTCCTCCTCACTTTTCTCTCAGCAGTTTTACCCAAAAACTTCAAGGTGAAGATGGTGACCAAGACATCTGTCCTTTTGAGCTGGGAGTTTCCTGAGAATTACAACTCTCCCACCCCATACAAGGCAAGTGGAATGGAGGAGTCAGAACCGCCATCCTTCCCAGTTTCCTGGGAGTCTTGTCTGTTGCTTTGAATAAGAGATATGGGCAGATAATGGTTAATCACTAGATTAAGGAGACGAGTGGAAAATCAGGGCTGTTGGGTTGCATTCCCACCTGTGTTACCGAATCATTGCCTCCCCAGGCAGGTTACCACAATCTTCCCGTTTCCAGATAAAAATTTCTCTTCCCAAAAAAATCTCAAGGCTTTGTTTTGCATGTGCTTTATAACTGGGGACCCTACAGTGGGTACATGAGACAGCTCCCCACTCAAATGCCTTCTGTTCCTGTGTTTGTACCAGCTCTGGCAGAGCTGGGTAGAGCATGGCACAGTTGAGTGTGTTCTCTGCAAAGCAAGGGGGAGGAAGGCGTTGGGTTGCTTGAGCAGTATCAGTCTTGCTCATGATACAACTTTGCTGCCTCTTCTCCTCCCACAGATCCAGTACAATGGGCTGAACGTCGATGTGGACGGCCGCACCACGAAGAAACTCATCACCAACCTGAAGCCCCGCACGTTCTACAACTTCGTTCTCATGAACCGGGGCAATAGCATGGGTGGCTTACAGCAGAACGTTGCTGCCTGGACTGCTGCTGACATGTTGTCAAAGAAGCCAGAGGTGACCCACAAGCCTGACGCTGATGGCAACGTGGTGGTGATTCTCCCGGACGTGAAGAGCTCTGTGCCTGTCCAGTAGGTTTCTGTTAAGCTGCAGACGTGGGATGCTCAGTTTACGGTGCGGGGGTCAGCCCTGACGGTGGAGTCCCCAGTACAAACCCGCAAGGGCAGTGGCACGCAGGGTGTTCCCTGCATTTTCAGCCTTGCTCACTGTTGTCTTTTGGAGCTGCTTCCCAGCGCTAACAGGGAATACTAAAGAAATGCAAAGGGAGTAAATAAGGAGACACGTCATATGGGGCTAACACTGAATCCAGGCTCGTTCCAGGAGCAGCAATAACAGCTGTGCTAAATGAAAAATAAGGGGCTTGCTGGGTTGGGCCAGTGGGGCTGTTTGGACAAACCTAGCCTTCCACGTCAGTGTGTGCACTCTCTTGTTCTGTGGCTCGTAGGAGGAGATCAATTCTTTCTATTTCTTCTGATTATTCCCAACTCTTAGGGCTTTCTACATTGTGGTGGTGCCTCTAAGGAAGTCCCGGGGAGGACAGTTCCTCAACCCCTTGGGCAGCCCCGAGGAGATGGACCTGGAGGAGGTGAGTGTGGGTGAAACTGAAGGCAGCTGCAGGGAGGGAGCAAACAGCCGTAATGGACGGGATGGTGACCTGAGAGCATGGGAAGGGTGGTTGTGGGGTGTCTGTGCTCCACATTCTGAGTAGCTAAGGTGTGGGCAGTCCGAGTGGGATGGTTTGGCTCTCCTTCCTTCCTGCTCCCTTGATGGTGCTGAAGCATCAGGGCTCAGAGTGTTCCTTTGCTTCCTCCAGCTCGTTCAGGACATCGCCAGGCTCCGACGCCGAAGTCTGCGTCACTCCCGACAATTGGACTTCCCCAAGCCCTACATTGCTGCCCGTTTTCGCTCTCTCCCCTCCCACTTCATCTTGGGGGACATGAAGCACTACGACAACTTCGAGAACAGAGCCCTGGAGCCAGGGCAGAAATATGTCATCTTCATCCTGGCAGTGCTCCAGGAACCCGAGGCCGTAAGTGCTGCGTACTTTCTCTTGCCCTCTTCGGATTCTTGTGCCTCTCTGTTCCCGTTATCGACCAGAGACAGCAGCTGCTCCTGCGTGAGCTGCCAGCAGCCCTGGTGCCCTCCTGGCATTCTCCATAACTCTCCCCCACCAGATGCCAGAGCTGGAGTTTTTTTTTTCTTTGTAAAGACCTTCCAGTCCAGCTGTGGAGCTTTTGCATGTGGCTATTGGAGCTGTTTGTGCTCGTGTCTGCATGCAGCAAACATGCTTTTCCAAGCAGACGGGCTCATGACGCATCTTCTGCACTGCTTCTGCATTTTGCCAGTCTTCGTAGGCACTTGCTACACTTGTGGCTCCAGATTGGAGTCCAGGATGGGGAGTACTGAACTATGCACTCAGGACTGCACGAGAGTTCAGACATCCCTAGGTCAAACTCCTTTACAAAGAGTAATTTCTTGGAAAAGCTGTCCTTGTATTCCTTAGAGCAATGGCCCTAAACATCCTGCTTTGAGAGCAACACGTCACACCCCCTGGTCATTACTAAATTCCTCACCAAGCAGAGAGTGGAGCATTTTTTAATGGAAAACTACATGTGCTCTCTGCTCTTTTTACCACTTCAGCACCTCTGCTGATTTCTGTGTTTGGCTTTATGAAAACAACTGTTTGAATATTTACCTGCCTCCTCCCTCGTGCACAATAGGAAGCAATCTAATACTTTGTTGTTTTTAAATCCCCCTATGGAGTTGTAGCAGGAAGCTATTTGAAATTAAGGATTTTCAGAGGTTTTTTCCCAAATAAATATTTAGTTGTGTATTTGATATTAAAGGATTAGGCTGACACGCTTCTGAATGGGTTTCTCAATCGGATTACTGCAGCTTGTGGTAATTTCTGCTTTAGAACAAGGTACTGCGTGCTCCCTCACTCCGGCCGGGGCTCCCAGCAGCTCCCACGTGTGCAGCAGTATTTCAGTCTTGCTGAGAACTGGTTGAGTTCAAGGACCCAGAGCCCAGATCTTCTGTTGGTGTCCTGTCCCAGACTTTTCACTCAAACCTGGACATGCTGCTTCTCCTCTGTACGTTGTAGTTTCTGTAGTTTCTGCCTAAGCTGGGAGGAGCGCAGCCTGCCCAGGGTGGGCACCCCAGGCAGATCGTAGCGGTCCTGAGAACAAGCAGGTGGTGCCCCTTAGTTGAGTTGAGGACTCTGAATGTCTGAGTGTGCCTCTGGTTCTCCTCGAGATCCCAGCTCACTGCGAAGGGAGCAGAGGAGAAATACTGCATTTTATTAATTTATATTTACTTGTAACGGTTGGGGTTTTTTTCAGTCAGCAGACCAGACTGTTTCTAAGCGTGAATTCTTGTTTTAATCCCATCCCTCTTTCTCTGTAATCCCATCGGACTGTCAAAATCCAGATGGTTACATGGGAGCTTGGAGAAAGTGTTTGTGGCAGTGGAGAGGGCTCAGGGATGTGGTGGAACAGAGGGAGACATAGTCAACTGGCTTTCTAGAATCACCTTCCTGGCTACAAGATGAAGTGAGCCGTAGGCACGAGCCGGTCTACAACTTCATGTGAATGTGATCTTTCAGTGTGTTTTACCTGGAGCACTGGAGGAAGATACCTGTCACATACATGGACACTCACAGATAAGAGGTTTTTCTGTAGGTTGAAGAGGGTATTTTCTCTGTTGTTCTTTTATTTGTTGCTGCAGAGAGCTCACATCCTCTCTAGCAGTTTCTCTGGTGGAATACTGTACACTTGCCCGTTGTTGTCATTCCCATTCCATCGCTGAACTCTGTTCCACAATCTTTCATGTCTTCCAGACTTTTGCTGCTAGTCCGTTCTCTGACCCCATCCAGCTGGACAACCCCGATCCGCAGCCGATCATTGATGGAGAGGAAGGGCTGATCTGGGTCATCGGGCCCGTCCTGGCCGTCGTGTTCATCATCTGCATTGTCATTGCCATTCTACTCTACAAAAAGTAAGAGATGATGCTTGCCCAGATCTGTGACCATTCTGAATGTCCCCAGCTCTGGCCCCTTAAGGGAGTTTCCTCCTTGGTGCTATAGTTGTTGGCTGAGGGCAGATCTTTCCACTGGCACCAGAGAGACGAGCCCTGAGGCAGAAATGCTGAAATGGAAGGAAATGGCACAGGAGAGATTAGCAGTGGGTTGCAGGGACTTGCTGCTTCAGAGCCTACCCCGTGGTGCTCTCAGTAAAGCTGTGCTTGTCTCTGGACAGTCTGTTGTGGCACATGTGCAATGAGTATGTCAGGTCTCTGGCCTGTCTCCTCCAGAATTGCTGCCCACAGCCGTAGCCTCAGGCTCCCCTTCCCGTGCTCAGGGGGTGATGCAGGGAAAGCACCTTTGTGCTGTGGGTCAGCAGAGACCCCCGTTGTTCCCAAACTGGTTTTCAGCTGGAGTTGGGAGATGGGAGCAGGGATGTAATGTGAGTCTGCTGGAGAGAGGACAGAACAACCCCTGGAAATCTCTCTCTTTTCCTTGGCTTTCTGAGCAGCTGATGGTGTGTGGATGGGAATGGGGGCTCCGTGAGCACACACAGCCCACACTGTGCAGTGAAAGAGGACAGGAAAGGAAGCAGATGCTGAGCAAAATAGATCAAGAAAAAGGGCAGGATGGCAGCTATGGCAAATGCAGGGGTGTCCTTAGCTGAGACATCTAGTACTCAGGGTGGAGGGAGCTCTCTTAGCCCTGCTCCATCTTTCATCTGCACAGGTGGGTTTGTTTATGCACATGGGTGTGTCTTTTGCATCCAGCATGTGTGAAGCTGCTGGACACACAGGTGTCTGGGGTCAGGGACTCAGGTGGTCCTTATTGGTGTTACTTAGCACTGATCCAAACCGGTAATCTGTGCTGGTCCCACCTTCCACCTGTGTTACCAGGGTTAGAGCTGAGCAAGTGCTTCCCCCTTCCTCTGCAAGTCCTTTCTAACCTGAACATTTGTCTTGTCTTCTCTCCACTTACTGCTTTCCTGGACAGCAAGCCAGACAGGTAAGAGCACCAGATTTGCCATTTACTTAGGTTCTTTCTTGCTGGGCTGGCTGTGTATTAGGCAGTGTTTGCTGTCTGTGGTGATGGGGCTTTGCTGCTACAGTTCCACCAGTAGATCTGTCCTGACACCCTGTGTCAGACTAGCACGGGGCCGTGTTTGAGTCAGAGAAAGCCCAGCTTTCTCCTGCTTGTCCATTCCTAAATATAACAGCCCTTTCTCAAGCTGAGCAGCGGTGGCAGTAAACGGCTCATAAAACGTTGGGTTAATGGAGCAGAGAAACACCCATTTGTGTGGCAGTCAGAGGTGAAAGCAGGTTTTCTCCATGTCTGACTGCTCCATACAGGCTGTCCCTGAGCCGCTGGCGTACTGGAAGCAGAATCTCACCAGCTGAGCTGTTCTCGCCCCGTTGCAAAAGCTGTTCTTGCCCCATCAGCCAGGGACTCCTAAAAGAGTTTGTTTATGACTGCAAAAATGAGACTTTCTTCAAACCATTTCCAAGGCTGGGAGACCTTTCACTGGAAGTAACTGATGGGTTTAGCCAATGAACTAATAACAGCAGTTTCAGAACTGCGGAAAAAATAAATGACTCCCAAACTGCAAAGCGGTGTCATTCCAAAACGCTGCCCCATGCAGTGCTGGCAGGGCTCACGCCACTTCTTCTAGCTATTAATGACATTAAGAGACAGCTAAAAATGTACTGAATAACCTCTTCTCTGCCTAAGTAATTGCCATTATTGCTGCAGGCATGTTATTGGAGGCTTCTGTGGAAGCCAAGCAGGAGAGGCAAGGAGCTCTACAGCCGTCTTGCTAGAAGGGCCAGGGCAATGTTTGCAAGCCTTGGGGTGTGGGTGCACATTCTCTACCCACTGGAGAAGTTCTACTCCCAGCAGCTTGTCACTGTTCCCTTGCCAGAGGTTATCGCATCTTCAGATCAGCACTGGGCGTTGCTTCCAAATTCTTTTCAAGGAGAGTGAGCCAGGTCAGCAAAGACTTTTCAACTGCCTCAGCTAACCTAACCCATTTTGAGCAAAATATATTAGGAAGCACTTACATGTGCAGCTCAGCTGGCAGGTTGGAGCGGGATTCAGCTTCTGGCATAGAGGTGAGACAGATCTCAGCAGGCACAGCTGTGATGGGAGAGGATGTGTCTACATTGGTGTTTGAACCCAGATTTTTAGGGTTCTGCAGATCAAAAAAGGTTGAAAACCACTGCTCTGGCTTCTCTGTCTGCAGCAAGGCACCGAGAGCTCCTAAACAAGCCAACAGAGCAATATCAGCACTTTATGTCCAAGGTCACAGCCAGGAGATTCTGTACTTTTCCAAATGATTATGTTGGCTCTGCTTCTTTCAGGCTGAAAATGGCTTGGCCAGAATTGGAAGGTTTCTGCTTTGCAGAGCACTGCAGAGTTCAGGGGAGGCTTGTCTGCACAGGGAGGCTGAGGTGTGAGTTCGCAGCACCTCAGCTGCTCCTTGCTGCCTGTCTGTGCTTCTGCTGGGAGAAGGGGGAACTTCCAGACTTGTCTGAAAGCTGCTGAGGGGCTGCTGGGCCGTTGCAAACCCGTCAAATACAGCGCTGACAAAACCTTCCAAACCCCATCCCTTTTCTGATGCGTTTTATGTAACTTACATCCTTGGCTGCATCTGGCTCTGATTTTGGTGGGAGCTGTGCTCGGGTCTGAACGTGGCCTGAGCAGCTGAAAAGACTAAAAGGCCCATAAACTAAGATGCTTTGTCTTTCTATTTTCTTGTTTCTTTTTTTTTTTCTTTTTCAAGCAAACGGAAAGATTCAGAGCCACGGACGAAATGCCTCCTGAACAACGCTGAAATCACCCCTCACCACCCTAAGGACCCTGTGGAAATGAGGCGCATCAACTTCCAAACTCCAGGTAACCGGCTGCAAACCAGCCTTTCCCACTGCCAAGGCAGGAGTGCCCTTTCCTTAACCCCTTCCTGCCTGCCTGAAGGCTGCTGCAGTGCTGCCTTTGAGACCCAGCGCTGAGCCAGGATGCGGCCAAGGAGCCTCAAAGCCTTGTCCGTGCTAAGGGAGGCTGCTGAAATAAACCTTTCCTGGGAAACCTCAAGGACCTTGCACCGGCTCTGCGCAGCGCTAGCAAGGCAGGAAGAAGGGCTTTCCTGGATACCCAGCTAAATTGGTGCATTCTGGGCTGAAGTACACAGCTGCAAGTGCCGTGGCCGTGCCAAGCTTGCCAGAGCACCGATGCTGCCGCGCAGCACCGTGCCGCGCGCCGGGAAGTCCCAGGGGCAGTGGAGATGAAGCCAGGGCTGTAACTGGCACTTTCTGCATACGTGCCAAAACACTCGTGTGAGGAGCCAGGCCTGCCCCGTGGGCTGTGCGGAGGGAGGAAGGCAGCGGGCTGCTCCGTGCAGACAAGGCTGTGCCTCCTCGCTCGGCGCAGACGCCGTCACCGCGTGTAACCGCGCTTAACTCCCGGGCAGAGGAGCTCGGTGCACCCTCCGTTCTGTACACGTGTGTCCCCATGTCCATGCATGTGGAAGCTGCCTGCATGGCACCTCTGCGAGCCACCGCTGACACGGCCCGGCACGGCCACGTCCTCACGCAGACAGACACTTGGCGATGCTCGGCAGTGCCTGCACCCTGGTACACCCCTCTGCCTCCGAGCTCCTGGTGCTTGAGGATTCGGAAGGGAATGTATTGTGCTTTTTGGGGGCTGGCTGTTGTTTTCAGTTTGTTTGTATTTTTTTGCTGTTTTGTGCTTGTTAGTAATGTTTCCGCAGCTCCTGTTTCCCCTTCCTGTCCCAGTCCTGTCCTTAGCGTTGTCTGAGTTTTCTTTGGGTGAGGTTGGCAAGGCAAGTAGGTACCCAGAGGGCAGGGATCTTTGGGAAGCACAAAGGCAGCACTGAGCTGAGGGTTTCATATCAAAAAGAGTTAGGAACAACCCGTTGGGGTGAGCCCAAGCTTAGGAACGATTGAGTCTCAGCTGAGGGATGGAAGTGGGTTCAATCCAGCCTGCAGGGACTGGATGCAGAGCAGTTGGGCAGCAGTTAGGTCCCTAAATCAGTGTTCCTCTTGCAGCAGAGTCTGAAGGGATTTTTTTTGAGATCTTTTGAGTGTCCCCAGCTGCAGCTCAGCAGCAGTTAGCATTTGTCTGGGCTCAGAGTTCCATACTGGGTGCAAACAGGAGCTCTCTTTGAGAGTGTTCAGGTTGGCTTCTGGGTGCTCCAGGCATTGTAAGACCCAAGAGAAAGAGCTGCACTCCCCCATGTGAAACCTATGTTGAGATAAAAATAGAGATAAAAGGTTGTGGCCATCCAGCTTAGCTTGGGTGCTAAGAAGCAGCTGGAAGTGCTGTTCCATGCATTTCCCTTTCTGGGAGCTTCTCCCTTTCCCCGCAGCATAGCAGAGTCAGCTAAGGGCACTTCCGAGCTTCAGTTGATGCGATCGATAGATGAAGGAGGCTGCCTTCCCTTGACCTTGCTGTTTGGTCATGCTGCACCTCCGAATTCTCCATCTAAGAGGTTTGTAAAAGGCAGCTAAGACATGCAGAGCTGCCACTGACCTCTGCTAGGCAGAGGTCTGCAGGTCTCAAGAGACTCTGGCTTTAGGAAAATGGTGCCACCTTTTCTTTCTGAGTCTATCTGGCCAAAGAGTTTTATCTAGCTCATTTATTCTGCTCTATAGTTTGTGAAGCAGTGAAAGGTTTTAAGGGATTTGAGAGAGTTGGTCACCTGCCTGCCTCCCACAGAACTTTGCAAACAGTTGAGTGAAAATGGAAACGGATGGAAAATCAGAGCTTGGAGCGTGTTGGTGGTGATGGAGAGGTTGTGGTGCAGTTTGCAGGGGAGGACTCCGTAGGTGCTATCTGAATTGAAGCCATTTGAATTAAATATATTGTGGTTTAGAAGAGGGCCTGTAGGTTCTTCTTCAGCCAGATGACCCAGGGTCCAGCAAGCAGAGTCTCTATCATGTCCCCAGTACAAACTGGGAGACGTGGGAATAGGAGCATGCGTGAGCATCCGTGCAGCTCGGAGAGGGGAAAGCATAGCACATCTTCGATACCCTGTCCTCGCCTAATCAGCACCAAAAATAACTTTCTTTTCCTCTTTAGATTTATGTTGGTTTTTGGTTTTTTTATTAGCATGAAATTTAAAAAAAAAAAGTGTATATTTTATTTATTTATTTTTTACTGTTTTCTGCAGATTCTGGTCTGAGCAGCCCTCTCAGTGACCCTGAGTTTGACTTTGAAAGTTAGTTCCTGTGTGTTTTTGTTCCTGTTGGTTTCATTTTTCCCCTCCCCGTTATTATTTTTTTCTCTTCTGTCGCTTTCCTTTCCAGTTCTGTTTCGTTCCTGTTATTTTATATTTTCTTTTGCCGAATTCTCTGTACTCCTGCGGTGTTTGCCCATCTCACCCCTTTTCTGTGCCATCTGTTTGTCTGAACCGTGCTTCCAGTTTTACAGTATCAAATATCAGGCCTTTTGCAGGACCAGGGTAGCAGCAGCAGAACAGAACCCCCGCTAGCAGCGTGGGACACCGTCCGTCCTTCTGTGTCTCTTTCGCTGTCTCAGGAGCAAGACCTGGCTTTCAAAGCTTCTTTTTCTCCCCGTTGTGGAAGATGTTTCATTTCTGAAGCTTTGCTAAATGTCCCTCGTGCTTATTGACGGGCAGAAAGGCACCTTCCGTGCGCCGGTGTGCGAGCGGCGTGCGGGCGCGTGCCTGGGGGTCCGTGCTCGTCGCTTCGTAACGCGGAGGGGAAGGAGGAAACCAGAGCTGCAGCTGGCGATCCCCTCTCTGATCCCCTCTCTTTGGAGAGAAGCCCACGGGCACCTTTTTATGTCAGAGGAGGAAAAGGGCCGTTTCCCATCTGTGGCAGGTGTCTGATCCTTGGCGTCGACTTGTTCCAGGAGCACAAAGACCAGAGGCCTCTCCATGGTCCTCCACCCCCTCTGAGTTTCACGCCCAGTGCCATCCAGCCGCGGTGGTTTTGCAAGGAGAAATGGGCTCTGGCCCATGGAACAGATGTTAGGGTGACGTTTCTGGCGAGTTGGCTGGTGCACAGAGAATCAAGTCTTTTGTGATAAGATTAGAGAGATTCAAGTGATTGAAATGTTAGATGAGACTGGCTCGAAAGACTTCATCCCCATTAGAAGCCAAGATCCCAGCTTTGCTGGGCGGGTTTGGGGTTTGTTTATTGTTTTGATTTGGTTTTTTTTATGCTGGGCAGGGAAGTAGATGTGAGGTTTCAGCTGACAAATGGGAAAAATCACAGATGCTGCTTGTGCTCCGAGACGTGAGCGCTGGGACGTTTTTCTGAATAGTTTAATCCAAGTATTGGTCTCTTTGGTACTGAATACTCCTGTCAATGCTGTCCCAGTCCACCTGCCACCTCCCCTCAACCCCATTATTGTAACAGAGGAGGTTTGCATGGTTTTTCAGCCCTGGTTGACCCTCAGCCCTGTGCCACCCTCGCCACTGCGGGAGGGCTCCCCGGGCAGCAGCCCCGCAGGTTGCCGGGAGGCTGTAGAGCAGAGGGACCTGCGAGCCATTTCCCTTCATGCCTGAAAAAAAGAGTTATTGAATTAAAGCCGACAAAAAGAGAAGACTGCTGACTCAGCAGTGCCGGCCGGTACTGCCGGGGAGGTACCGCTCCTGCTTGTTTAATACCAAACTCCTCCTGGATCTTAACGGGAACCGCCGTGCACTTGGCATTTTGACCAGGAATGTGTTTATCGCTGCAGAGGTTTCCGGTCTCCTTTTATTCTAAAAAGCCCTAGAAATCGATCCGACAAGGAGATTTCTGTCTTCAACAGCAGCAAAACAAGGCAAGTTCCCACGTGCTGTCAGCCGGTGGCTGTTCATGGTGCGTTGGAGGTGGGAGCGGGATGTTCCCCAGCGCAGAAACAGAGCTGGTTTTCAGGAGCTGGTCACACTGAGGATTTTTTTTCCTGGAGCTTTTTTGAAGGAAACTTGTGAAATGCCTTCAAGGGGAATGTGACTTCTCGTTCCAGATTGCGCAGTGGGCCTTTCCCATGCAGCCCACGTGCTCAGAGGGACTGACACATTCTGCTCCATGACTTCTGAGCCAAAGAGCATCTGAGGGGGTTTTCTTGCTTGCTTGTTCTGATTGTGGTGGGGTGGTTTTTTTTCCTTTTAACCTATGTGCCCATCGTTTGGGATTCCATTTACAGCTCTGTGTTTCTAAGCACGCTTCAGCAAATAATCTCTAGCTTTTTGCAGCAGGGTCAGGCGGTGGCAGCTGGGCAGCTCTCGGCTCCCAGCCCAGGGGGCAAGAAGTCAGTGAGGGGTGACCAGCAGAGGTCTGGAGATGGTTTATTGAGTGGCCAGAAGTTGTTCTGAGTAGGGTTTGGCTTTGCTCTAATGCTCCAGCTCAAGGTACGTTCGCTGCCCTCTTCAGCCCTTGCTTTCAGAGGCAGAAGGACAGACACTGAGAGAAGTGTTCATAATACTAACTTGGTTTGGTCTCTGAGCTCCAGCAGCTCAGCCAGCGTGGCCTTCCCGTCCCACGCGGGCAGAGAGACGACTAAATCCTCTGAACACCCCCAGTCCACATCTGTTGCAATGGTACTGGGGTGGACAGCAGCCACCTTCCAGCCCAGGGTGGGAAGCAAAGGAGAAATCCTTCTCCAGGCGCAATGGGCTACAGGACAACAGGAGACTAACTGGGAGCTCTTCCTCCATAAGCAGGGAGAGACTTTCTGCCCTCATGCTGAGCAGACTAGAATGAAGCCAGCACAGCCTCCAGAATACTTTGGGGTTATTTTTATGAGCTTTTTTGGTCTGTTCCCCTCCCCACTTCTATTTTCAGCCAGACTTCCTTGTGCTGAAAATAGATGTCTAGTTAGCTTAGGAGAAACCTGTTGGAGTGGTGGCTCAGATCCCTGCTCTGCAGCAGACTCATCCTGTCCCCAGGCCTGGGAGAGGCAGCGTCTCTCTGGAAGTCACTGTAAAACTGAGGATGTCATGCTTGCTTTGCCATCTCTGTGCTGAGTTTTCAGAGTATCTGACCGTGCTGCTGCCACCGCCGCTGCTTTGTCACACACCAACACCCACGGGGCTCGAAATTCTCCCTGGCTTCCATCTCTCCTCCACTCCTGTCCTTCTCATTGGGGCACCGCCCAGGGCTTCTCCGCATGCTGCTGTCCTTGCCTGTCCGCTGTCGTTCGGAGCGGGATCGGCTGGCAGACAGCATGGGAAGCCTTTGGAAAAACATGATCCAATGCAGATGAGCAAAGCACGGAGCGCTTTTCCACCTCGATTTGTAGCCTGGCTGTTTGAGATGATAGGACAAGAAGGATCCCTGCTCTTCCCAGAGCTCCAGCTGCCCTTCTCAGAGCAGGATGGACTGAAAATCGAGTCTGACTTCACTGCTCAGCCCTATTCGTGGCTGAGATGTGCCTACAGTCCGACCAGTCCGATGCTGCGTGACCTTCCCGCTCCCAGTACATCTCAGAGCAGATGGAGTCTGTTCCCTGGCAGTTCTGTCTCCCTCAATCCGAGCACAACTAAGCGTTGGTGAGATTCCCGAGGGCAGCAGGTGAACCAGGGTCATGAGACATCGGTCTCCCCAGAATATTGTTTCCCAGACGGAGAAAAGGGCAAGAGGATCTTTTGCCTCTCCATCACAAAAGGTGATGAGATCCCCAGCAGAGACTGGGACGGGGTGGGTACCCCCTGCCCCGCAGATGGAGCAGGGAGGGCGAGGACAGGGCAGCACTGACCGACTGCGGGCTGTGCTCCGGAAGGAACATCATCCACCGGCCGCGAGCGGGAAGAGGAGCCAGGGCTTGACACTTCCATGCCTGGTTGCACTCTTGGACCGCTGTGTCCATGAGCTCACCAAGAAGCTCACAGAGCCGATGGCATGCCAAGGACAATTCCTGAAAAGCCTCCCCTGCTTCCCCCCATCTGCATTCCCTCCCCCTGCCCCACATCGCCATGGTTGGCTGGATCCCTGCCCCTTCCCTTCTTTTGTGTTGGAGATTGTTTATGATCATGGCGGGTGCTGTACCATTTGCTGCGTAGGTTCCTCTGGCAGCGTTTGCTCATTTTAAGTCCACTATTGGAATCGCTAACACGCATCTGCTCTTCGGATTTTCCTTTTTGTTTCGCTCTGATTTACACATTGAAAATGGGGCCATCATGAGAACACTCTCATTTTACTCGTTTTTTTTATTTCCTTGATTTTTATTTTTAACTTCCAAGGACACAATTTCGAGCCCTGAATTCTTCTCTTCTAACCTCCCTACTTTCATTGCAGATCTTACATTGTAATTTTTTTTCTTTTCTTGTATCTTCTTTCTTATAAAATGTGCAACGCTTGTGAATTGTTAGTTATTATTAAATGAGATTCTTTTCCTGCTGTCTTGTCTTTTAGGTATGCTCAGCCACCCACCAATCCCCGTTTCCGAGCTGGCTGAACACACAGAGCATCTCAAAGCTAATGATAACCTGAAATTGTCCCAAGAGTATGAGGTATGAGCAAGAGTGAGTGCTGTGCATGGGTTTGCAGAGCCAGGGAATTCAGAAATTCAGACAGACCCTCATCCACATAAACATAGCTTCAATTTAAGGATCTGGTTAGTGGAAATAAAACAGCTGGTTATGTATTTTAAATGAAGTACTTGCTCAGTGCTTTGCTGGGTTCAATTCCAGATGATAGAAAAGACAGAGGCTTGGTTCATGAGCCGGTCCTGTCCGAAGGGCAGGCATCTCGGACAGGGTCTGAGCTCCCTTTTTGAAGGGAGATGCATTTCTGGAAGATGACTGCCAGGTGGATGGGATGGGCAGTTGTCCTTGGGGGTGCCCGTGTCATGGAGAGGACCAAGCCCAGGAATGTGATACCCAGTTTTAGGAAGCTGAAGCTGGGCGAGATGAACAGTGAGTCCTCCACAGCAGCAGCCACGGAGCTAAAGCTGAGAAAACAGGATGATTTGGGCCTTTCTTGTCTTGTCTGGTGGTTTTGTGCTTTTTTTCTTGTCCTCCTTCCCGCTAATGTTTGGTTACCCCCATGGGCTCCTGCAGGCAACCAGCTGTGGCTACTGGACTTGTATTCCAAATGACTACCCCAGACTGTAAAATTCCTGCCTTCCTGGGGCTGACAGGTCAGGCCAGTCCCAAGGCAGACTGAGGGGGGGGAAGGAGAAGAGCATCGTAGCCCCCACGTTACCGCTGCCGCTACGTAGCATGGCATCCCTGTCGCCAGGCAGAAAAGGGCTGTGCACCTGCACAAACCTCTCCTGCCCACTCACGGCGTCGGGGCTGCATCAGCACTGGTTAAATCCCAGTGCCAATGCCCAGTGCTGCTGGGGCCATCGGTACTTGGGTCACTTTCACTGCAGATTGAATATATGACCAAATTTTTTTTTGTTTTTGTTCAAAGCCATAAAACGCCCTGATATTTTTAGACTAATAACTAGTCTAGACTGCCTAGTTCTGTTTGCAGACCGAGAGTGAGGTGATGTTTGTCCCTACAAAGGACTGGTTCTGGGATGCTTTCTCCTTGGTCTGGCTTGCAAACATCAGTGTGCGTGAAGCAGCTGTGGACTCACAGCTCCGTGCCCATGGAGGGGAGGGGGTTGCGCAGTGCAGAGGGAGAATTTGCTGTGCTGGGGTCTTTCACCCCACGTTGGGGTGTAGGGGGGAAGCAGCAGCCCGTTAATATGCTCTATCCAGATTTCCAAGACCCATTTGCATAATGCAATATCCCAAGTGCCCTGGCTTTGTTCCAGCACAACCTCCTCTAGTGGGAGAGCCAGAGCTAAACAAACATCGCTAATGAAATGAATGTGAGGCGAGATTAGAGGGATAGAGAGCAAACAGACACATTACAACAGTATAAATACCCATTAGTTCCAAACGCTCCGCGGCGAGAGGGCAGGAGAACGTTTTTGTCGGGCGGTTTTGTACCCACGTTGCCACGACCACCGGAGCTGAGCTGTGCCCGGGTGGGCTCTGGGGTCGGTACGGGCAGGGGAGGGCAGTGGGAGTGGGTGCC